ATCACTAATCATTAGAGAAATGCAAATAAAAAAATCCACAGCGAGATGCCACTTCACACCCATTAGGAATGACTATTATACAAACAAACAAAAAACAGCAAGCAAACAAACAGTAAATAACAAGTATTGGCAAAGAGGTGGAGAAATTGGAATCCTGCACTGCTGGTGGAAATTTAAAATGGTGCAGCCACTATGGGAAATAGTATGGAGTTTCCTCAAAAAGTTTTAAAAAGTCAAAAAAAAATTTTTAATACATATGATCCAGTAATTCCACTTTTGGGTGTATACCCATAAGAATTGAAAGCAGGAACTCAGATAGGTATTTGTACACCCATGTTCACAGCAGCATTATTCACAATAGCCAAAAGGTGGAAGCAACCCAAGTGACCATTGGTGGATAAATGGCTAAACAAAATGTGGCATATATATATACAATAGAATATTTTTCAGCCTTGAAGAGAAAGGAAATTCTGACACATGTTACAATGTGGATGAAACTTGAAGACATTATGCTAAGTGAAATAAGCCAGTCACAAGAGGAAAAATACTGTATGATTCCACTTATATGAGGTACCTGGAGTAGTCAGATTGATAGAGACAGAGAGTAGACTGGCAATTGGCAATAGGTGGTGGAAGGGATAAATGAGGTACTGTTAAATGAGTACATTTGGGAGATGAAAAAAGTTCTGGAGATGGATGGTGGTGATGGTTGTACAACAGTATGACTGCATCTAATGCCGCTGAATTGTAAAGTTATCCCTTTCTGACATGGTTCAGCACATTTATGTATCCTTGGGCACAATAGTTCTGGATTATCCTCAGGTAAACTTTTTCATTGTAATTAGGGCAGAATGTCACAAGATGTCACTCTTTAGCTGAAAAAACTATTTCAGTTCAGTGTAGTAGCTGACAACAGTAATGCCAGAATGACAGACAAAAACCTGTAACTATACTTTTACTCCTACGATTACAGTTTTCTGGGAAAAAGGTTTCCATCTGTGAAATGTATTAACCTATTCTTGTTTATGAAACAAGTTAATATTTGTTAACTTCATTGATACTAATTACTTCCCATTGTAAGTCAAATTGGTGTAATTAAAACGTAACTAAGTTGGAAGTGACCAATGTAATACAAAACTGCAATGTAAAGATCATTGATCTTTGACAGTCAGATGGCTTGTGCTTTGTCACATGATGGGTGAACTCAGGTAAGCCATTTAAGCACTCTGATTTCATCAGAGTGCCAAAAATCTTTCGTTGGTCAATACACACTACTATATATTTAATATGTGCTAATACATATTTAAAGACATTCTTCCAATTCTTATTTTGTTACATTAGTAATCAAATTATAACTGTTCAAATACAATGTCAATGGGAGTTCAGTAACAGAAAATACCATCTGCAAGAAGACATTGGGAAATATGAGACTTCTTGACATCTTGTGGAAGTATTTTTAAGAAAATGTATAAACCAGTTCCAGAGGTATGAATTCTTAAAATCACATTTCTGAGAACATTTTTGTAAAAAGATAGAAAATCTTGATGTATATTTTAGCTTTGCTTAAATATAAAATTTTCAAGATTTAAAAACACATTAATTCTTAAAGATTATACCATTTGAATTGGCAATGCTCCCTTGCAACTGTAATCCAATTAAGTTATTTTTTAAAAACTTCTCTAATTTTTGCAAGAAGTTTATAATTGATTTATGATACCTAAAAACGTCAAAGCCCAAATGTTCACCCCTGGGTGAACTTCTGGACACTAAGGCATATTAATAAGTGAGGACATATTTTTGTTAGTAGTAACACTTATTTGGCTTAAGATTATCAGAATAAGAAAGACTATCAGAAATGATGGGTGAAAATATAGAACCCAATGATAATGAAAAATAGTAAATAGCACCTGGTTTAAAATATTCACAGTTGTTTGATCATTTTATTTTATAACTCAAATCTTTCTGTTTAACTTTTTTTGTTGGGACGATTAAATACATCGAAGGAAAGAAAAGACTAAGTTGTTAAAATTCTCAAGTAAAAATTATCTTAAACATTGGAAGTGAATTAACAAGATTTATGTTTTGTTTCAGTGCCACTTCTACATCTGCTGTGTGTGTAGGGGTGGAGGGGGGCGGGAGTCTCCCAATGTGAGAGAAGTCTGGGAGGGGCATAATGGGGGAGGCCCCTTCCCTCCCACTGATAACTCGTTGGTTCACTGGACACCGGCTAAAACAGACCTATCTCTCCCGCCGTTATTCCCACCACCCTAGTAAGGTTCCAACACTGCTCCTCAAGCTTGGTAAGTTCAAAGTGCAGTAGAAATGCATAGGAGGAATAATCTGAAATGATTTTGTAGATAGTTGATTGGAGGGTGGAAAAGGGAGGGGTGAAGGAACGGGTGGAGGTGGTAATTATCAGGCATCTCTTTGCTTTCGTATTTGCATGGGGTTCTCCAAAACGATTTTAAAAGCACTAGACAATAAGCGACCCCGCCCCCCAAGGAAAACTTTTCAGAGGAGCCCCTCGCAGTCTGCTGCTGCTCTCGAGAAATCAACGCGCAGAAATCTGGGGAGGGCTCCTTGCAGGTGCATGTGCTAGGGTGAAGGGCTGCGCCCGGCTCAGTCAGCAGCTGTCTGTGCCTCTGTCCCCAGGTCCGAGAGATGCTGCCCTCTTGGCCCTGCCACCACTGAAGCGCCCAGGGAGCCCGGAAGAGCCACCCGAACGCGGACACCCGGGGCCATGAGTTCTCTGAGGCTGCGAGCGTCGCTCTCGCTACTGCTGCTGCTGGGTGGCTGTCTCCTCGCGGTCGCCCGGAGGGACAAGGGGGCGGCGGGCAGCGCGGCAGAGCCGGCCCCGGGTCCGGCGGGCGGCTCCTCGGGCCGCTTCGTCAGCCCCGGGCGGCACGCGTGCAGCTGGCAGCTCCTGCTGTCCGCCCCAGGGCCCGCGGTGGGCAAAGAGCTGGCGCTGCGCTGCCAGGCCCCAGACGGGGCGCGCCTGCAGTGCGCCTACCGCGGGGAGCCCGAGCGCTGCGCCGCCTACGCCACCCGCCGCCCGCACTACTGGAAGCAGGTGCTGGGCGGGCTGCGCAAGAAGCGGCGGCCCTGCCAGGACCCCGCGCCTCTCAAGGCCCGCCTGTGCGCAGGCAAGAAGGGCCACGGCGCCGAGCTGCGCCTGGTGCCCCCCGCGTCCCCACTCACCCGCCCCACTGCGGCGGGCTTTCGCAGGGATGCCAAGCCCCGGGCCAAGAGCCGGGGGCGGACCCGGGATCCCGCGCCCGGCCCCGCTGCAGGCACCCCGCCTCCCACGAGCGCGCCGCCCAAAGAGAAACCTGCTGAGAGGAAGACCAAAGGGGCCAAGAGAAAGGCGGCCGCGGACCCGGGCGAGGAGCGACCCCTGGGGACTGGGCCCGATCCCGACGGGCTGGACGAGAACGCGAAGCTCACCGAGACCTACTGTGCTGAGAAGTGGCACTCCCTTTGCACCTTCTTTGTCAATTTCTGGAATGGCTGAGGGGGCCGGCCTGGGGAGGGACAGGGAGTGTGCACCCGGAGCGAGGAAGCTGAGGGCACCTTAGGCCTAGAGATGCGGGATAATGGGGAGGAGGCCATGTGGTTCTAGAATGCGGCTGGGGGTTGGGGTGGGACTTGGGGCGTGAGAGTGTAAGGGATCTGGAGAATTTCTGAGAGCAGAGAAGTCAACACTTTTGAGGAGTCTGGATTCTGATTAAGAGCAGAAGAAATAGTGGGTGGATACAGAAGTAGGCATACCTTAAATGTGCAAAAACTGTAGACTAGGGAGAGATGGGTACAGGGAGAGGCTGAAAAAAAAGTGGGGCAAGTGACTAAAGTCGTGTGATTTTCCTGTAGGAAACAGGATACAATGTATACTGTTAACACGTTTATATTAAAATATAATCACAAGCTATTGATAACCAGAGCCAGGTTGAATTGTTAGTGTCTGTGGCACTAGTGTTAGTGTCTCACCTAATCAACTGACAAGATAACCAAAAACATTTTTTTTCCTTTCTGAATTAATAGGAACTTGGGTGCTGCTTGGTGTCATAAATGACCTCTTACAGGAATAGAAGCCATTCAGAGGTCAAAATTGACTCCAAAGAAAAGATTTTCTGGTCGGTTGCCCTAATATTCTTTTAGAAGTGCTACTTTTAAACAGTGATACCTAATGTTCTGAAACTTTTCCCATTAACCTTCTAAATTCAGGAGTGAATTGTAGAAGTTGAGTGCTCCAGTAGGTTCTAAAACAGCTCTCATATCTGATCATGTTTTTAAAAACAGCTAAAATGTAAGTATGTATCTTGGAGTCATTTGGACCATTATTATGGACATTACCTCTGTTTTGTAATTAATTGTTTAACATGTTTCCTTTTAAATAAGATGTAATGATAGACTTTGCAAATTTTAGGTGCTTAATAAAAACTGTATGGATAGATTTGAAGAACTGGCAGAGCAGTGGAAATTCTGATTGCACTTGATCTAGTTCTAAGTATATTCTTTGAAATAAGTTCCTAAACACATCTTGAACTGTTGAGGAAAGAAAAGAATAAGTCTGCATAAGGCAAGAATCACAGACTGGCAAGCCCTGTCATTGTTCTGTTTGGCCTGAATTTGGTTCTCTTTCATTTTTCCCCTCTTTCTCCCTCTCTCCTTCCCTTCCAATTTGGATTTGTTGCTGGCATTTATAGTAGATAATTTCATACAAAACACGCATTTCTGAATTCTCCTGAAAAATCAGATCTAGCAACATTGGACCCACCTTCTCACATGGCAACAATTGGCTGACTCTGGATATTGGCTGCCCCCTTTAGACTAGGCATGTTTTCTAGAGTTCTCCTCTGCTCCTACACATTTTATCAATTGACTTTATTCATTTATATTACAGGCCTGAGCCTGTGAGACATTTAAGGCACTGCCAGATATGAGAATTTTACCTTTTTGTACTCCAGCCTCTGCTTCCTTCATTATTTCCTTCTCTCTCACTCTCCAGTGTCCCTCTTTTACTTAAAAGGACCCATATGAATAGTCCAGGATAATCTCCTCATCTCAAGGTCAGTTATTAGCAACTTTAATTCCATTTGCAATTTAATGTATACTGTTAACATGTTTTTCAGTTAACAATTTCAGAATTGACAAAAATGTAGACATATTAACACCATTTAATGTAACTTATGTACAAATTCTAGGGAGTAAGACACGGTTATCTTTGGGGGGACCATTATTTTGCTTACCCCAGTGGCTATGTTAATATCCAGTAAAGTAAACTCCAACACAGAGAAAAGGGAATAAAGAGGGATATTAATCTCCCTTTATCCCTGGGTGCATACCATCCAGCCAGAGACATTTTCTAGCCTTCCCTGCAGGTAGGTGTTATCAAATGACTACATTTTTGTCATTTGTTAAAGCAACTTCAACTTCAGTATACTTTAAAATAAAATTGCTTGTCTTGGACTTCCTCTTCTTTCCCTTCTGAGAGGTGGAACATGGTTGTTCTCACCAGTTCACTTGAACCATGCAGAGGAATACAATGCTTTAGAGGATGGCAGAGCACAAGGTGGAAGGAATCTGGGTCCCTGAATGACTTCATGGGAAAGTGCCTCCCCATTCTGCATGGGCCAGAGTTTTACATGTGAGGAGAATAAAGTGTACAGTCAATCTTTATTATTTGTGGAACCCATATCTATGAGTTTTTCCACTCACTAAAATTTATTTGTAACCCCAAAATCGAAACTCAGAGCACATTTGCAGTCATTTGTGGACATGTGCATGCACAGAATGGTGAAAACTTTGGGCACTATGTGCACATACCCAAATGAGGTCTAATAAGGCAACACTCTGCCTCCTTGTTTCAGCTCTTATATTTTGTAAAAAAATTATTTTTTCATGGTATGTGTAGTGCCATGTTTTGTCACATTTTTGTGCTTTTTTTTTTGGTAATTTCACAGTTTAAAATGGCCCCAAACATAGTGCTGTCTAGTGGTCCTAAGTGAAGGAAAGGTGTGATATGCCTCAAAGAGAAAATATATGTTAGGTAAGCTTTGTTCGGGCATGAGTTTTAGTGCTATTAGCCGTGAGTTCAGTGTTAGTGAATCAGTAATATACTGTTGACCCTTGAAGAAGTAGGGGTTCAGGGTGTGAAGCCCTGAACAGTTGAAAAGCCTAGTATAACTTTGGACTCTCCAAAAAGTTAACTACTACTAGCCTACTGTTGACTGGAAGCCTTAGCAATAACATAAACTGTTGATTAGCACATATTTTACATGTTATATGTAGTATATACTGTATTCTTACAATAAAGTAAGCTAGAGAAAAAAAAATGTTTTTCAAATTATTAGAAATGCCCAAAATATTTTGCAATTTATTTATTGAAAAAAACCTGCAATTAAGTGGACCCACACAGTCCAACCTGTGTTGTTCAAGGATCGACTGTATATTAAATAAGGTATCTTTAAACAGAAACATAAAACAGGGTTATGTACGGAACAGTTGATAAGAATATTGTGGACGGAGTCTTCCGAAAACCTAGGCTTGTATTCCCCTGGGAGCAGTGGTTCAGTAGTTGCTAATTCCATGTTCATGGTGACTTTGTTGAACGTAGTTACTGCAAATAATGAAGATTGACTGTATTTCTCATTTAAACCCTTGTAGTCTGAGATTAACCTTTGCCTTAACTAATATAATATTTTTGTGCAGTTTCTGATAGTGGAAAACAAATACTGCATTTATTGCTTCTAAAGTATACTTTGTATCATCAGTGTTCCTATAGGAAACATACAACACACTCAGGAGTAACAGAGGAGCTTAATTAAGAAACTATTTACAAAGGTGTAGAGTAAGGGGACTCGGTTGGATAGCCAAGATTCATGTCCTTTCCAGAACCTGTCAGTTTCAGAATTGACAAAAATGTAGACATATTAACACCGTTCCCTGTCTCCTGTCCAGGTGTAGTAAGTGAAGAATGTATTAACAATGCAGCCTAAATGACAAATGAATATTTTTACAACTGAGTGTCTGTGCATGCTCAACTCAAGCTCATTCAATCTCATGGCCTACAGCAAGAATATAACACTTGTGACCATTTCCAATGCTGCTCAGTTCTGGTCAGACTATAGCATATTTTCCATTCTAGGGCAAAAAGGAGTATATAAACTTTGAAACGTATCCATAGGAGGGTCACAAAGATGACAGTATTTTTCAGGAAAGGTATATCAAAATGGATCCTCTAAGAAACAGGTGGCAAGACTTAGGTGGGCAGGGGATGCCTGTAAGTGAGAAAGAAGGAAGGAGCAGCTGGGGAGAATCTCTGAGTCCTAAATGGGGTGAGTGGGAGGAAGGAGGATTAAGTAAGAAGAGCCTTAGCTCTGTGCAGCTCTGAGGAAGCCTCAGCACAGAGAATGGAGGAGTTATACAATGGGCAGGAATGGCCTGGTTTAGCTCCCCTGCAGGCAGAATCACTGCTCGGAGTGCCCCAGGGAGAACGTACTCTGGGTGTGGACACTGTGGTAGATTCAGAAGGTGCTGCTGGACACTGTGAGCTACTAGCCTGCTCACAGCAGGTTCTCACTTAAAGGGGGATTTGAGCAGTGCACTCCAGGGCTGTCACAAAACTTAATAAAAGGCTAATGTTTCGGTTTGGTTGAATCATGATTTAGGTCTTTTTTTCTTTCACCTTCACAAAAAAATATAGCTAACAGCTACTAAGAGTTTAAATGACACAGGGATGGTAGTACAGCATGGAGAGTACACACAATAATTCTGTAACATCTTCCTATGTTGACAGATAGCAACTGCACTAGTGGGCGTGGGGGATTCAATAATATGGGTAACTTGAACCACTGTGTTGTACATTTGAAACCGATATATGATTACATATCAATAATACTTCAATTAAAAGAAAAAGAGTTTAGGTGACAGAGACCAACATACATGGGTTCAAATCTAGGTGTTAACAGTAACCATCTGTGTGACCTTGGACAATTTAGTGCATCTCTCTGTGTCTCAGACTTAACCTATGAAAAATAGAGAGAAAAATAATAATTTTAAAATGGTTGTTGGAGGATTAAATGAAATGCTCATGTGAAGTACAGTGCCAGGCATACTGCAAGCATGCAACAAATATTTCCTTAGTGCTCCCATTTCCTTTAGTATGCCAATACAGGCATCAAGGGGGAACTCAGTCTTAAAGGGCACTTACACAAAATGGTGATCAGCAACTTCCCATCTCAGCTGCAAATGGCATAATGAGAAAAAAGGAAGAAATGTGTAGTTGTGGAAGAAAGAATTATCTGATGAAAAGACACTGGGCTACTAGCCTGCTCACAGCAGGTTCTCACTTAAAGGGGGATTTACTGAATGATATACAGTGTTCACATCCCTAATGTGGAAACAAGGGGGTATATGAGATCTCCTTCACTGAGGACAAATTGCAAACAGATGAGACCACTTCTGGTCTTGGAGACTTGGGGACCACAGCTGACCTCCCAGCTCCATGGCTCTCATACAACTTCAAAGAGCGACTCTCCTTACTTCCTAACTAATGCTTACAGCTGTAGGACTTTGATGAACTTACCCCAAGTTTGTCCCTCCTGTGACCTCTGGCTAGCCACTTTCAAACTGTTCCCCATTTCAATTTTTAAAAGCAGGCATAAAAGTAGACCAGAGCCCTCCTTCTCTCTTTTAAAGCAAGAAGTCTGCTTCAGTCACACCCAAAATTATTGGGTGGTCATCATATACAGACAACAGTAGTTGGAAAAGATAATGCAAGATAACAATAATAACACCACCAGGTAAAACACTTAAGAATAAACTCAATAAGAATTTTGCAAGAGCCATATGAAGAACATAGAAAAACTCTGCATCCAGAAAAGACCTGAATAAATGAAAACATATATGCAATTGTTTTTATTATTAGATAAAAGGCCTTGACATTTTAAGAATATCAGTCTATGTTTAAATATCATTACAATAAAACTACCAACAGGATTTTGGGGGAGTGAGGCAACTGATTCTCAAGTTCTAAAGTAAAACCAAAATGAACCTGAGGACTGGAGGGATGAAAGGCTGTGTTTCAGAGAAAGAGAAAAGAATACTTTCATTAAGGGTACAACTTGAAATGGCTAAATACAGAATCTCCCAAAGGACTTTTGGTAGCACAGTGCAAAACAATGTAAATGACGTGAGGGGACTGTTTCTAGGTAACCACAGGGACTCTCCATGAAAGGCCGGAAGCTTGGACCAACACTTCAGCTGACGGTTGCCTCCTTGGAGCTGGGTGGTCATGTGACAGGTTCTGGAAAGGACCTTTGATCCATATGTTCTTTTGTTCGCAAGCACAATGATCACAATGAGAATGACTTTTCTCCAAACAGAGGAAGGGATAGGACCCTTGTGCATTGATTTTTAAGATGAGGGGAGAGAGGTGGAGGGAAGATGTCCAGTGTGGGA